TATTTTATTTTTTATAAACTTTTTCATTTTTTAATATTTATTTTTATTTATTCATTTTTTTATTAAATATTTGTATTTTTTACTTTACTTTTAGAGGCTTCGGGGAAATATTGGGGGTCTAGACCTCTGATATCTCCCTTTTAAAATAGAAAATGAGATTGAGGACACAGAGTCCTCTGCAGCCCCTGTTATCAGTGATCAGGAATCCTCTATACTGAGTGTTCCTGATCATTTATAACATGAGGACAGAGTATGATTACTATAACCACAATCGTGAATGGACAGGAAGTGATGTAGCTCACTTACCATTCATTCATAATTGGGGATATAGTAACCATTCTCTGTCCTCAATTATGTACAAACACTCAGCGATCACTGATCCCCGACTGCTTGTACCGCTCTCCATCCTGACATGCTGTCACAGGAGGCTGAGCGAGCGGTGTGAGGAAGAGAGCTCCGCCTCCTGTGACAGCGCTGGCTGTCTCCGCCTACACACCGCTCTGCCGATCTGTGACAGGAGGCTGAGCAGTGCGGAGGAGAGACGCCGGCCGCTCACATCGCTCTCCTCCCGCAGCGCTCGGCCGGCTGTCACAGTTTCTCTCCTCCCCGCTGGGATACAGAGCAGCGCCCAGCGGGGAGGAGAGAAAGAATAGATGCGCCGCTGTATCGGCCAGAAAATGGCACTTTCGGCATTATGCCAAAAGTGCCATTTTTGGCCGATGTGTTTCGGCGGCTGATGTCGGTGCATCCCTAGTATAAAGTGTCTGAAGACCTTCGGGAGGATGGAACGGGGAAGCCGGTTGGCTGACGGGAAGGCCAGAGTTCAGCTCCTTATTGAGCCGGAAATGTTTCAGGTCAGCTGATCCTGAGATTCGTTAAATGGCCTTCATTGGCTGTTGGGGTGAAGGGGGGGGGGGTCATTATCTGTGCTGACCACAGGACGGGGCCCCTTTCCTATACACGCTCCCTACGCACGCCATTTTATTATTGAGGTTCTTCCAGCTGCCAGAACTTTCCCGATGAAAGGTTGCCATCAAAGAGATTCCTGCACAGCCCGGAGCCATAAACACGGAGAGATCCAACTTCCTATTCTATTCATAGCAAAGTCTTCTGTAACATAGAGATAAAGCAGAACTCCGGCCGTCCCTTCCGTCTAGAAGCACGGGGACCCAGTGATGACATCACCGGGGCTGGAACAAGGTTTGCAATGGGAACGGAAAGGTTTTAGGGTGTTGATGACGGGGGAGGAGAACCGGGGAAGGCAAAATATCAGCAGATTAAACTTCAACTGATCTACATGGAGTTCTGTCCAATCCTGGAGACCCGGAACCACGAGCCGGTATG